AAAAAAAATGATGACAAGCCAATAATTTTAGGCTGATGAAAGAGTTTTGATCAATGAATGCTTCGCTGCAAATGAAAAATTTATTATTTGAAAATTAAAATATTTATTAATATTAATGCTTTTATTTTATTTCTATTTTATTAATTTATTGCATTATATCAGATTGTTAATTGGAAATTAAGCATTAAATTAATAAAACAATGAATATTATCGCTCAATTCAAGGATTTATGGTAAAATGAAAAAATGTTGAAAGAATAAGACTTTTAAAAAACTCATGTTATTTCTCGTAGATAACGCAGTTTTGGCTTAAAAATTTTGATAAATGAACAGAGAAATTTCGAGAATAGCCATAGTAATAAAAGGTACTAATAATAGACATATAGTGATAACAGTCTGTTGATATATGAATGAAAAAGTTTGTAAATGCTTGAATACGCTAAGCTAATATATGATTGAATAATGAAATCAAACATTTTTCTTCTTAAATTTCTTAATCAATTTTTTTTCCTCACCTGTTTACCTTCCATTCCTGGTGGTCCTCTTATTCCCATTGGTCCTGGTGGTCCCTAAATTTATCAATCTATTAAATAATTTAATGTGAATTTTCATAATTAAATAGAATTTCTAAGGAAAATGTCTTATGATTCAATTTAAAAAACTTAAAAATAAAATTTATTAAATATTTAAAATTCCATAATGTAAAGATAAAACATACAGGCAAACCAAGTGATCCAGGTACACCAACTAATCCTTGCTCTCCTTTTTCACCTTTCATACCTGGAGGTCCAGGTAAACCGGGACTTCCCTAAAATTTATTTATTTTGATTTCTGGATATTCCTTATATGCTGATATATTATAACGTTTTAATGCATACTCGAGGTCCGGGTGGTCCTGGAACCGTAATTGATGATGAAGCGGTCGCTTCAATTACAGTACCCTGAAATTGTTTTTTTTTTTTGAAAAGTTTTCCAGTTGAATTGAAGAAATAATCGGTACTTTTTGTTTTTGCATTTAAGAGAAAAATTTAAAAATGTCGCAAATATTTGGGATGAAGTGTAATGTTCTGAGAGGTTAATTTATTGCAACAAATTGAATATATCCTTTTGGACTGTTGTATTTTTATAAGATTGGCGAATTAATCAGATTTACCGATGATCCTGGTAATCCTGGTGGACCGATTAATCCAGGTGGTCCAATTTCACCACGTTCACCTTTTGTACCAGCATGACCCGGTAAACCTTGAGGTCCACGTTCACCACGTGATCCTTCATCACCTTTTGGACCCTACAATTTGTATATGTCATTAAACTAAATTTACACTAACAAAATGATCAAACAAAAGATGGCGAAGAATTTACCTGTGGTCCAACTGGACCCGGTGGTCCTGGTAAACCACCTCTTCGTGCATGTTGTTGCACCATTGGTAATAATTTTTCAATCAGTTTTTCCTCATTCACATTTAAACCATCTTTACCCTGAATAGTATACATCAAAAATGATTAATTTCAACACCTAAACTTTCTCTTTCTGATTTAAAAAAAAAAAAAAAAACTTCAAGATATTTCGAAAAATTGCCTGTTTTTATTTAAATCTAAAAATTGTCATCATAATTAATTTTTACAGTTATATATAATCTTGTTTTTTCCTTTTTTTTTTTGCTAAGAAAAGCGAAAAAGAATGAAGCGAAAAAAATTCCAATTAAAATCCTGATTAAGTTTAATATTAGAGGGGAAAAAACCAAAAATAAAAGGAAAAAGAGAAAAATGTTAAAAGCATACCTGTTATGTTAATTAATAACATGTTGTTTTAAAAAAAAGAAAAAAAGTTCTGCTTTTCTTTTCGCTTTTTAGTTTTTCATTTTTTTTCAAATTTCCAAACACGCATATATAATTCATGCAAAAAAGCATGCTACAAATATTTTACAACACTTCAATATCAATTAAATCAACAAACTATCATATATATATATTAGTTATACAACTATGTAAACATATATTTTTACATATGTAAATTAGTAAAACAATAAGGGGAAACAAAAGTGAGAAAAAAACGAGCAAGTTTTTTTTTTAACAATTTCAACTCATTTTGTTTTATGTTTCCAAAACTTTTGCGTAGTTTTTTTTTTTATAAAAAAAATAATAAGGAGAATAAAAACAAAAAAACAAAACAAAATAAACAAACAAACAGAACAAAGAAACAAACAAACAAAC